AGGGCGATCGATCGCCGGCCCGACATGACCTAGCTGTGCGCGTGTGTGAGGGACGCGGTGCCACCGTCTCCGGACGTCACGGTCAGCGGTCGAGCCACAGTCTGCGGGCCGGCTGCGCGCTGCACACCCGGGGAGGGGAACACTACTGGCGGCCCGCGCGGCCGGGACACAGGACAGGCTGCACTGGCTACAGGGGCCGGGTCGGGCCGGCACAACGTCACCGACCGGGCGGCGGCGCATGCGGCACATACCATCCATGAATACAAGTTGGCGCTTGTACTTGGCAAAAAACCCTGGGGCAAGACGGGGTCGGTTAGTACTGGTATGGGTCGGCGGCACCGGCGGGTCCGGCCGACGGTTCACTGGCGGGGGAGGCAGTGGAGGGGGCCGCGGCGGGAGGCAGAGGACTGCAGAGCAGGGGACAGAGGACTGCCGAGCAGGGGACAGTCCGGAGAGAGCAGTGAAGCCGGAGTCGGCGTCCGTTTCGGCGGGGTCAGAGCAGTGAAGCCAGAGTCGGTGGTGTTGGTGGGGAGACCGAGTGGCCCGTCGGCCGCTGCTCTCTGGGTACTCACATCCCTCGTAGACCTCGAGCGGGGTGTGCACCCCCGAGCGGCTCGTGTTCACCTCGCGGCCCAGCGTCTCGCTGGGCGAGAGCTGGCCGCTGTCGGCCGTGTGGTCCGCCATTTTGAACAGCGGCGCGTCGAGCACCGGCCGGCCGGCGCCGTCCTCGATGACGCCCTCGTCGCTCAGCTGCAGGTCCTTCTCGTAGCGGTAGGTGAGCGTCAGACTCTCGGCCCGGTTAACAATGTCCTGGCGGCGGGCGGCAGGAGTGAGCGCTCAGCGGCGCTCCGGCAACAAACACCGGCACACATCCGTCAGAAACAGTGGTGGTAGGTGAAATAGAAAAAAAAACACAATTTACTCATGTGTTTCCTGCCTCACACACCTAGTTTATTCAGTCGTGCTATGATGCAGATTATGTGCAGCATGTACCGACTACCGAAGACGACGTCAATGGGCAAACCACTTGATTTTATCGTGCACCATTGAATATTACCGGCGAACTGAAAATCTTACGCAGAGAAGGTGGATATAACATACCTACCGAGTACACATGCGGTCAGCGGCAGTGGCGGCGTTACCTTGAGCGCCTGCGTGCGCCGGGTGAAGATGGTTGTGATCTGGGACGCCATGAGAGCCAGCTCCTGTTCGGGCCGGACAACGTCGAACCGGACGCTGTGGCGCATACTGTGGCCGAAACTCTGCCGGGCGCACACACGGCCGCACCGGTCAGCGTGTCCCAACGACCCGCAACACCTCCTCCCGACCACATACAAACACACACGGCCGCACCGGTCAGCGTGTCTCAACGGGCAACGACCCACAACACCTCCCGACCACATACAAACACACACGGCCGCACCGGTCAGCGTGTCCCAACGACCCGCAACACCTCCTCCCTACCACATACAAACACACACGGCCGCACCGGTCAGCGCAACACCTCCCGATCACATACAAACACACACGGCCGCACGGTCAGCGTGTCCCAACGACCCGCAACACCTCCTCCCGACCACATACACACACGGCCGCACCGGTCAGCGCAACACCTCCCGATCACATACAAACACACACGGCCGCACCGGTCAGCGTGTCCCAACGACCCGCAACACCTCCTCCCGACCACATACAAACACACACGGCCGCACCTCAAATCGTTCCATAGTTAGCCCATGGGCAGTTGGGCTCAAACTCAAGCCGTTCTATAGCTACACTGAGAAAAAAAAATTATTCCCCTGGAACACCTTTAAGGGTGTGTACCAAACTGCACCTCGCTGGGGTGTCAGACGGGTGTCACTTTTGACACCAATACAGGTGTCATTGGGAATGAAACACCGGGTGTCTGACACCCTTTTAGGTGTCTGACACCCTTTTGGGTGCACACCCAAAAGGGTGTCAGACACCCGGTGTTTGATTCCCAATGACACCTGTATTGGTGTCTTAAGTGACACCCGTCTGACACCCCAGCGAGGTGCAGTTTGGTACACACCCTTAAAGGTGTTACGAGAGTGTCCATTGGATGCCAAAAAAGGTGTCGACACATTCTTACATTTATTGGTTCAAACAGGCATAGGTATCGCATACAAACATGGCATTCCTATCTTGTATACAGCAACAAACTATAAAGTGCAAAAAAATATGGGCTCTATATTTATGGAGAAATCCAATGAAAACTCACCGAAACACATCGGGTCCATTCACAGTGAGAAGTTGCTCGCATTTCAACAATGATAATTAACCGTCGATTATCTCCAACCAGATGTTATTCCGCAGTTCACTTGCTTTCGTTTCCATGGTGCAATGCTGTGTTGTCATCCTCACTCCAGACTTCAAATTTCACCGAGTACCGCCCGCCTCGTCATTTGAATAAACACGGAGCAAGCTACAAATAAAAGCTAAACATTATCATTAACGCACAATCACTTGAAGAAGTACACTGCGAACAACGTTCGGCGCCACTATATCCACATAAATTCAAAAAAGCCCTGCCATCACTCACACCGCACACGCACCACGTGGCCAGCCGCCGCCAACTGAAATCTAACGGCTTTCCTGCAAGGTGGCGCTTTTTGATCTTCGCATGGTTGACGCCGTGACCGGCACACAAATGACGTCACACAATGCAGCTTGCTGATTGGGTAATGATTCAAACCACTGGACCTGCTGTGGTTTCTAGCAGTGCTACGGAGTCAGAGTCGGAGTCTGATGGAGTTGGCAGTTCTGGCCGGAATAGGAGTCCATTTTGGAAGACAGAGCGGGAGTCCGAGTCACTGAAAATCCGTTAGACACCGCATCCTTGGTTCCTAACACAAGTGACGTCAGAACAATTTATGTGATGATTTGGGTTCGAATACACGACAGCTTTCAAACATTTCATGACTCATGCTGGAATGTTCCTCAACAAATGACAACACACGTGAAGGTATCACGAGGGTATCAGATCCCTTTTAAGGAACATTTTTTTACACCTTTTGAAGTGTTGATGGTTTAGGGTGTTTGACACCCGAATGGATGTTGGTGTAGGCAGGGCTGCGGAGTCGATGGATTTTCAGTGACTCCGACTCCGACTCCGACTCCGGCTTCCAAAAAACAACTCCGACTCCGACTCCGGGTAGAACTATCGACTCTGACCGACTCCAACTCCGACTCCCGACTCCGCAGCCCTGTCAGGTCTGCGGAGTCGATGGATTTTTCGGTGACTCCGACTCCGACTCCGGCTCCGGTTTCCAAAATCGACTCCGACTACGACTCCGACTCCGGTCAGAACTGTCGACTCCGACCGACTCCGACTCCGACTCCGACTCCGCAGCCCTGGGTGTAGGACACCCATTAATGTGTCGTTCTGAATCCCACGTGTGTTTAAACGCTGCACTTGAAGATTGTCATCGTGGTGTTGTACACCTCCATGATTCCCAAAACAACATTTTTGACACCAATCTGGGCGTTATATATGACACTGCAATGATGTCCGACACCCGTGAGACACCCCATGGGAATATTTTTCCTCATTTTTTCATGCTGTTTTTGGTGTCAGATCCTTTTGCAAGTGTCAATGTGACACCTCTAGCAGTGTCGGACACTTTTAACATTCCGCTTTAATAAATGGCAACACCTGTGAAGGCATCATAAGGGTGTCAGATGCTTTTAAAAGAACATTTTTGACACCTTTTAGGGTGTTTGATACCTTAGAGTGTTTGATACCCGGATGGGTGTGGGTGTCTGACACCTATTAAGGTGTCATGCTGAATCCCATTAAGGTATATCTAAACGCTCGCATGCGAACGAACACTTGAAAGGGTGTCATCGTGGTGTTGTACACCTTAATGATTCCCTAAACAGCATTTTTCAACACCAATCTGGGTGTTCGATGACACCTCCAATGGTGTCTGACACCCGTAAAACACCCCTGGGGAATAATTTTTTTTCTCAGTGTAGTTCATTAGCTATTAATGCTAACCCGCAGTTAGAGGCATGCCCCATTATTTGGATGCCAACGGCCTGGTGCGGATGCTCGTATTGCTACGCCTAGTAGGTACTCGCACTCACCAGCTACGGACGGTTATGACTCTCCAGCCCTCAGTGGGCCTTCAGTCGCTCTCCTTACCCATCAGATTCCTGACGCCCGATACAACCGAGTCCCCTCAGGAGTCCGGAGTCGCCCGACAACCCACCGGAGTCCTGGCATCCCCAGTCGCTCCCAGGAGTCCTGTTATCTCTCCTCATCGCCCATCGCATCCTGTCCAGATTGTCCCTCTATACAGGCCCTGTCGCCGCCCGCTGGGTGGGGCCCGTCACCCACTGAGTCCTGTCGCCCCTGGCCCCCAACATCCACAGAGGCCCTCTCGCCGCCCGCTGGGTGGGGCCCGTCACCCACTGAGTCATGTCGCCCCTGGCCCCCAACATCCACAGAGGTTCTCTCGCCGCCCGCTGGGTGGGGCCCGTCGCACCCGGCCCAGAGAGGACGAGTCATGACAGGTCAGTTGATGTGTTCGCACACTTGGTAGCACTGTTTGGCTTCTATGATCTTATCCATATATACCGGTTTTCACTAACTTGATTCGCCTCCCCCGATCTATGGATGCCTACAAAAAGGTGACCTAGTTTACAGCGCGTTCCACCCCTAAATGCCGCCATCCGGTTAGGGAGGGTACGGGATATCGGGAGTATCCACCCGTGAGAACGCTCCTGTCGATCCCTATATAAGGATATCGGTCCTAATATGAGCCTCATCCTCGCGGCCCACTGGCTTTTCTCGCATGGACTACGGTTTAAACCCCCTTAGCCCATATTCTTTTTCATCACCCCATAAGGCCCTGTACAGTGAACGTGTTCCGTATCGTCCGGTACCGATCACTCGCTGCAGCCCTTTGTAGCCCGAACCCATGTTCCCCGCCACAGCCCTGGAACACGAGGTATGACGACGGAAAAACACTGGCGATCTAAGGTCGTGTGTATTGGATAGTGACGTTGGCGGACAGCTCGGTAGCAGAGGCGGCCCGCCCCAGACACAGACAGCTCCCAGCACCGCCGCACGCGCGCAGAACATATGTAGTAAGCCCGGCCGCGGCCGCCGACCGGTCGCGGACGGCCACCGGCCGGGAGAGACGGAGAAGGAGCGGCGCCCGGCCCGCGCGGCACTCAGACGTGCAGCTTGCACAGGTAGCGCATCTGCAGCATCTTCACCTCCTCCTGGTCCAGCTTGACCACGCCCTCCGGGTGGTCGATGGAGAGCAGCACCCCGCTCGCTTCGCGGTCCTCGCCTGCCGACAGGGTGCCAGGTCAGGTCAGGTTAAGTAAGTGAACGGCCAGGGTAACCCGTCATCGCCTGCCACAAGGCGGTCAGGTCAGTTTCGTTAGGTAGTTGTGGTTTCACGGGGCCGTCGGCCACGGGATCATATGCGCCCGGCGGGTCAGGTTCCGTGAGTGGAGGGCCAGGGTCACCTGTCCTTCGGCCCGTTCTCACGGTGTGGTCGGGGGCACGGGGTCCCCCGGCAGCAGCGGGCCGGCGCGGACTCACACGCCGGGCCGGCGGCAGTTCCCCTGGGACTGGCGGCGGCGGGTCTGCATCTGAGCCTTGTGGTACCGCTGGGACCGAGCCGCTGCCCAGCCCAGCCGCGGCGCCCGCCGAAAAACCGCCACCGGCAGCAGCGACAGCCAGCCGACAACCCGACGGCCTTATAATAATGCGCGCGACACAGCCGAAAAAAGATTGAAGACCAATGCGCTGAAAACGACGGAAGTCTTGGCGCACTTCAAATAACAATGTGTCTGTATCTCATTCAAAACGGTGTGTGAAAAACTGGCCCCATCATTGGTGCACAAGGTGAATGAAAGAGCCGGCGCTCGTGCATTCACTACGCGCAGTATCCGCGGGCCGACGCGAACAGACCTTCACCTCCTGAATTGGAGCTGATCCGTCCCAAGGCAATCGCAGCGGTTTTTCTCCCGGCTGCACGGCACAGTCACCATTGTGGTCATTTGTTTGTTTGTACTTTATCAGACTGTTTGCAGCGACGTTTTCTCGCGAAACGGGCAGATAGCGGGGGGCGGCTGAAATTTGGGCCACTGCGCAGGTCGGCGGCTCGGCGTTTTTCCTTCCCGGAGGCGCTGCCCAGATGAAGGTCTCGGCCACTGTGCCGTGCAGCAGGGCGTTTTTTGGCTCCCCGCGTGGGTGGCGGCCGCGCAGACGGGTGATTTCTGCTGGATTTTGGGGGAGATTTCCTCCTCTCGGCGGTCGCACATACCGCGGTAAGGTCAGGGTCCCGTGAGGGGGCCGGCCCGCGTCGGAACGGGACCGGCTGAGATCGAGCACCAGCCGACCGGACACTTCAGTTTGGACAACACTTTTCACAGCGATTCTGGCGGCAAAAGTGTTTGTAACGCATATATAAGTGTTTGTCGGCTCGTTTGAGGACTAAAAAAGAAAATTAATTTCATCAGTAAAACGCCTTTTGCGGCGACCAACGGAGCGAGCAAGAGGGTGGTCCTTGCATGTGCGAAATTGCGAGGGGGTACCTCCAACTAACTTGTGCACTGCACCCTACTAACCGGTCCCTAGCGATGTGCCAAATTTGAGCGCAATCGGCCTAGCCGTTCTCGAGATCTGGAAACGGCACCCTGCACGTGCGCACGTGCAAAATGAGTCCCGATTGACTTTTGCACGGCACCCTACTAACCGGTCCCTAATTCCAGTAACCACGTACCAAATTCCAGCGCAATCGGTTCAGCCGTTCTGGAATCAAGATCTGGAATCGACCCCTGGATGTGCGCACGTGCAGCAGCTCCCCAACTTTGACACATGGATGTGCATTGCCTAGTGGGTGCCTAAAGCCTGAAACATACTCTTTTCGCAGTTTTCGCATGCCAATTTTCAGCGCAATCGGCCCAGCAGTTACACAGATATTGCAATTGTTACAAAACTGACACCTCTTCGTTTTGCACGTGGCATGTGCATAAGGGGTCACCCACATGCACCTGGAATAGTCCAATGCTTGGTAGAAGGAATGAAGCTACCCTACAAAGACTATCGCATGTAAATTGGTGAAGTGGTTGCGGAGATAAAAGCCTCGCAAAAACGTGAACACGGCCGGCCGGCCGCTCATACTCAGAAATTTCCGTTAATCTACGAAAGGCTACGCTCGTTTCGCTCGCTCCGTAATCACTCAGGAAAATCGATGGACGGCACGGCCAGAGCACGGCCAGCCGATCGTAAGGAAAGAGAATGACCAATTGCCATTCGCCACTGTTCAGCACAAACCACAAGGACTGGAAATACACGGTCCGTTCCAGTGTCCTGTAAAAAAGAAATGTAATGATGATACACCAGATATTAAAACATCAAACGAATGTATAACATTGTTTTACGATTGTTAATTCAAGCAGGACATAACTGGATTCAATAACGACCAAAGTCGAAGAGATGGACATAATTTGATCTTCGCAAAATCCCGAGAAACGATTGAAATGACGCGCAATAATTCGGACCGAGGTATTCTCGATGCATTTCATGAATGGCCAAAAGGTACCATCAATCATGCAGCGGCCTGTCCGGTGACACCAGAGGGGCACCCGGCTAGCTATGACTAAAATTCGGCGAGAATGGCAGCCTTCGCCAGAGTCTCGACGTCAGTTGCCAGTTCCAGAGAGTGCGGTGCCGGCGAGGTCGGGTTGCCGGCGCCGCTCGGCTCGACCTTGCACCCGTCGCCCCTGGCTGGGTCGGCTGGACGCAGCGGCGAGCGGCGCCCGAGCGCGGCGGTCACACCCGAGCCGACCCGACCCCGCCCGGTCACACCCGAGCCGACCCGACCCCGCCCGGTCACACCCGAGCCGAGACGACCCCGCCCGGTCACACCGCTCTGAGCCGACCTGCTCCGGTTACACCGCTCTGACCTGAGCCGACCTGCTCGGGGGTATACCGCTCTGACCTGAGCCGACCTTGCATGGGGTCACACCGCTCTGACCTGAGCCGACCTGCTCGGGGGTATACCGCTCTGACCTGAGCCGACCTGCTCGGGGGTATACCGCTCTGACCTGAGCCGACCTGCTCGGGGGTATACCTGGCCAATCCTGTGCGGTGCACGGCCACGCCTGGGCGACCTGCCCGACCACACCCTGGCACGCAATCAGGGCTGGTGTCGGGTCAGTCCAGTCGTACAGCGCTGGCCCGCTGCGTGGTCAGCTCTCACAGGACGGCCATTGACACGCCTCAGACAACGTCCAGTACGGGACGATCGACCCGCCGGCCGTCACTCGCCGACCCCGGTTCTCGGACACGGCAGTCTCAACATCACACCACACGGCAGACACGAGTGGCAACCTGTCGAAACGTGGACGGTGACTCACAAACGGACACTGCAGTCTCACAGCGCAGCGATGGTGTGCAGTGGCCTGTGCTGTGACCACGATGATAACAGGAACAAAATCAGCCTGTGCACAAAGCCAATTGCACAAATCCGCGTGTATTATCTGCGTCGACATCTGATCAAAAACCTGACCTCTGGCAACAGCTTTCAAATGACATACCTCGGTCTATTCGTGCCACTCAATTAACCCCGTGTATCTAGCCAAAGTGCCATTATGTGGACTCGGTCGCCGGCGCGTTATTCGTTTGACACCTAACCAGGCCACCGGTGCTCGACGGAGCGCGCTCAAACGAGCCGCCGCCACCGCCGCTCGTAAACGGCTCACGGGCGTTTACCCAATTTAGCGGCACTGTGACACCATCTATAACTCGGCGACAGCCCTGCCCACCCTGCGGAACACCGAAATCAATCAGGGCGCTGACCGGAACGCTCGTATGCTCGGTCGCCGCTCTCAGGGTCGGCGCCCGTTGCAAGTCACACCTCTCGAACAGTTGGCAGAGCGCGTCACTCGGTCACACGGGTCACGCCCCGGACCATCGGAATGTCGGCCCTGGTGGAATGAGCCGGCGACGGAACCGAGTACCAACTGGCTCTGAGACTCGACGAGGGGGCTGAGGAGGGCAAGGGCAGAGCTCGGCGCCCGAGTAGACACTGGGAGGGGGTGGGAGTGGCTGGGAGTGGGCGAGAGCGCTGCGGAGGGCAGAGGGCACAGCGCAGTACCTGAGTAGACACTGAGAGGGGGTGGGACTGGGCGAGGGAGCTGGGGAGAGCAGGGACCACCACTCTTTGATGGACAGACCCTTTGATCAGTCGGTCGGCGGGGCGGATCATCAGCCGCTCCAAAACAGCCCCGGGCCTCCTACCGTACTAACGGGTATGTACTAACTATGTATGTATGTAACTATGTAGTTAACAGTAGCGGACGGAGCGGACAGTATGAAATAATGGCTGTCAGTGTGTCCCAGGCCTCAGACAGCCCGTCAGCCTGAGTATACCCACAGAGTTATCTGCGCGGCTCTACCGGCCGGCGCCGATCGACCCCCGTTTCGACAGCGGACCTCGCGTGTTTACTGCGGCGCACGGCTGACCGCGGCGGCAGACGCGGACGGGTGCAATCCCAGCCGAGCGGAGCTATCTCCGGCGGGTGTCCGTGCGCGCGCCACGCCCCGGGGTTGCAGACAGGGGTGGGCAGTCAGTACCCCAGCGCAACGAGCGAGGACCCGCCCAGTTACCTTAGCTAAGTTATCTACCTTAGCAAAGTGACAGACAATGCCGCCATTGGCATGGCATGGTAGCGAACAGAGGCGATGTGTCATTCCAATAAACAACTTACATAAACGTTTACTTGCATCGCACTCACTCGTGCGCGCATATAGACACGACAATGCCGCGGAGCAGATAACCGCACAGTGCACAGTGACGGTAAGCCAACCACAACAAAAGAACTGCGATTGTCGGGCCGGCTTTCCCGTCACGGGGGCTGCGCGCCGGCGCCGCGGCGGGCACCTGCTGCAGAGGAGCGGACCGCGCGGCGCAGAGCGGCGCCGCCGGCCGTGCAGATCGACCCCGGCGGAGCGCGGCTGCAGCGATCACAGAGCGCCGACAGCGGCCAGACCGTGTGACGGGCGAGCCGCGGCCCGGGAAACGCCGCCCCACACAGGCCGATTTGTCAGCACGTCTTTTTGGACCGGCTCGGCGAGAAAATCACCGTGTGGACAGCGAGTTCGGCCGAACTGTGGGGGCGTGGTCCCGAGTGGGGGAAGAACAGCGCCCGCACTGGCCCGGAGACAAGGTCGGGGCCGCCCCATTGGCCACTGACAGCTGGGTGACAGGTAAACTCGACTGCTAACGTCCGTCCGTCACCCAAATATCAGCGACAAAAACCCCGTCAGCCGGCAGACAATTATTTGCCCTTCCAGTCATGGCTTTTAAATGACCTGGGTAAAACGATGCATGACAAGCAAACAACCTGGCAAAATGTCGCCCAAAAGCCAGGTTATCAGACAAACTAATTCAGCCCAGTTTTTATCGGGCAATCATTCCAAAAATGACTATCTCCGGCGTGCAATTTCTTTTCCGAACGGTCCGATCCAAAGAAGTGACTTCCATCACCGCTCATTCACTGGTGGGATGCGCAGCCATTCACTGGTCGGATGCGCAGCCATTCACTGGTCGGATGCGCAGCCATTCACTGGTCGGATGCGCAGTCCACCGGCAGCCCACCACGCCGGCCGGCCGCCCGCCCACCGAGTGTTTTCCCACCGGGCCTATCCATCGGCATCGAACTCATTAGTTGAGCCGACCTCACAGACCTGTTCGACCGAGCTGGCTGTCCTTCAACTGTGACCCGCGACCGGCGCCGTCAGGACAAGCACACCGGCCCGACAATTGGTACAAGCATGGCTCGACTCGATGGCCAGATGGCCTTCTGCGTCCAGAGCGGTCAGTTTTTGGAGGACGTGCTCGGTGATACCGCAATGCACTGGTGCTTGCGCTCACCTTTTGTATTGATAAAATGTCACATTGCAATGGTAAATGAATGTGATCGGAGCAGCTCCGTTCGATTTTTCCGCCCCTATCGAATCTATAACAATGACGAGTGGAGCGATCAGCGAACTACGTCAAGCGATAACCAGTTGGGCGGTGGACGGTGGGCCGCCGTGTAGAATTGTGGGCGTGCCGCGGGACGGCGGCGCCGTGCCCCCGGCCGGGTCAGCGGGCACCCCCGGCCGGCGGACCCACGGCGGACTGCACCCCGGCCGGGGGCCGACGCACCGTCCCCAGCCGGTCAGAGCAGCTCGTCCGCCCATCGAGGACAGCGCCTCCGGCCGGCCGCCAAGGACCAGGGGCCCGGTGCAGGGGTCACACGTTGAGCAACGCCGGCCGGCCAGCCGGCGAGCCGCCGCGCCGGGTCACGGGTCACGGGTCACGGGTAGCGGCAGACCCCGCCGACCACGGTCACGGCACGGACGGCGCCCAGCCGACCGCCTGACCCCACACCCGATCCAGACCACCGCCCCACCTCACACCTCATTCATCTGCCCGGCCGCCCGCGACCGGGTGCGTGTCGGCCTCCCATTAAACGCCCAACATCTCAAACAGCGCGAGCAGCGCAACGCCACAACAGCACCGACCGACTTGCGTTTGCGGGTTAATCCAATTACACGCCGTAAGGTAATACGTACGCAAAATGGAGCGTATGTCGCAAAGGACTGCTATCATTTACAGACGTCGTTAGCGGCGTTGTGCAACGTTTCTGCCCAAACTTGTCGAATTGCAGGGGGGCCGGCGGGCTGAGGCAGGGGCCCGGCGCCGTGGCCAGGGAGGAGGCGCCGCCGGTCGGCTGGTCACGGCCCGCCGCCGCCGCTCATGGAGCGAGCACCACGCAACGGCTGGGGGCAGCTGGGCGGCGCGCGTTGCACCACCGTGCACCCCGCACAGTGCACAGCCGCGGGCGGGGGGCAGAGGCCATCTCCCGCACTGGCCAGAGGCCCTCTCCCGCACTGGCCAGAGGCCCTCTCCCGCACTGGCCAGAGGCCATCTCCTATACCACTCCGGCCGTCGGCAGCCGTCAATGGGCCGGCGTGGCCTACAAACGGCGACGGGCGCCGCGCCGGCTGGACCGGTGGCCCGCCCCGCCCCGCCCCGCTCCGCCCTGGACGAACACAAAATGACCCGAAACTGTCCCGGGAAGGTAACTGAATAAAACATCAGAGGCTCTCCACGAACAATGGGGTTGCCGTCTCGCCGAGTCTGTCCGGTCGGTAGTGGGATAGGTCACAGTATTCTACAAGCCGTAGAATACTGTGCCGTATTCGCAGCAAAACACACGCACCCACTCACGCACAGCTCCCCCTCCCCTCCCCCACACACTCCCGGGGTGGGGGACGGCCGGCGGCCACTGACCTAGGATGACCTTGACGCCGTCGCCGCGCTGCGGCTGCACCGGCTCCAGCTGGTCGGCCGTCAGGTTCACCACGCGCTCCTCGTCCGGCAGAAACAGCGAGCACATGGCGCCGGTCACGCTGCGCACCACGCCCGTCTGGCCGGCCAGGCCGGCGTCCTCGTGACCGTCCCGGATACGAACCTGAGGAGAGGCGAGGTCACAGGTCACAGGCCACGGGTCACCAACAAACGCGGACAGTATGGTTAGGGTCACAGGTCACCACCAAACGCGGACAGTACGGACCTGATGAGGTCACATGTCCACTACAAACACGGTAGTATCACTAGTACGAAACGGCGGTCAGATGAGGGTCACAGGTCACTAAGATGCAACGACAGACACACAGACGTATTGGCAGAACGATACACCAAGTAAACCGGTACGAGGTAAAGGCAAATAACCTGAGAACTTAACAAAACCATCAGAATGTAGGAAATGACATTACACACCAAGTTCATGAATAGCACAGCTATTACCCACATAGGCTACGCCGTTCTTTTCCAGAGGGTAATGGTCGGCTTGGGGCGCCGCCGCTACACCTCCGGTATCATCATTCCCCGCACACGATGCACACCCTGATAAGGGGGTGTATGGCACCGATAGCGTCGGACGGGTTCTGGGGATGCCGATTGTCCAACGCTGGCCTTTGCGGGGTAATCAGTCCATATTTCAGCCCTCCCCGCTGCGGTCTTTCGCTGCAGCGGCGTTTCGCCATGTAAGTAACCACGTTCTGTATGCCGGTGCGGTGCTCTGAGCCGACCTGCGCGCCCCCGAGGTGGCCACGCTCGGCTGCTCTGTTTCGCCACACGCTCATAACGCTGCACGGCCAACTGAGCGGCCGGCGGCGCCGTGCCGATCGGCCGCGCCCGCCGCGCCGCCAGACGCTACGGCATACGGCCCAGCCTCGCCCTTCCCCTCCCCCAGACGTTACGCGGCCTGGCCAGGAGACGTTACGGCCCGGCCGTATCGCCAAGCGTTACGCCCCCCCCCCCAGACGTTACGGTAAAGCCACGCCCTTTACCCCCCCCCCCCAGACGTTACGCCCCCCCCCCCCTCCACAGACCGGCCGCGCCGCTCCACTCCGACGGTTTTACACCGGCCACGGCGGTAAGCCAATACAGTCATTTCGACAGCCGCACCATACATACGTGCCGAAAATACAATCCGAGTAGATCTATATTGTGCCCATTTCGGAATAACTAGTTCACAGCTGGCAGCTCGGCTAACAGGCCGTGACGGTGTTCCCTAACGCCCCGTTATTTATCACGTTTGGATTATCATAGTTTTGGACTTATTTGAGGCAGCCGGTCGGCCTTGGCAAACTGACCCAGAAACAGAGGGGTCCGGGTGTCCCTGTATCCGGCGCCGGCCCGGTTGCGCCCCCCCCCCCCTCTGAAATGGGCGCGCATCATCTCGCCAGACGCCGTCACTCATCAGCGGCGCTGACCTGCGTGTACGAACCGTTGCGTCAGAGGGACGACCCCGGGGCGGGGCAGCTGCTGCCATTACTGGGGAGGAGTCGGCCCAGCCCCCGACACCGTCCCCGAGGCCGACTAAGGACAGCGGCCACACACGGACCGGGGCGCGGCGCAGGACGGCTCGTCGGCAGCCGTCAGCTGGCGGACGGGCGGCTGTATGCCCTGTGTCGTCCTCTAATCGTAACACCAGGAAAGTCCAATGGGAGGCTGCGCCGTATTTTAATCCAGCGATTCCTAAGGCGGTGACCTTGCATTAGTATCATCTCGGCCGGCGCCGCTGCCTAAATTGGCCGGGGGAACTGCGCAGCTCCGCGAGCAGTCGTCGCCGCCGCCTGCAGAGGCCGCCGGTGGTGTGAGCAATGACACCATGGGCAGCTGCTGGCACAATCCAGAGCGTCGGACGAAAACTGTTAAAGACGGTCGCATTCGCTACGAACTCCCAGCAGCGCCACACGAGGTAAAACGGCGACTGATAGTTATGCTCCCAATGCAAAGACACAGAGCAAGGGCAGGGCCGAAAGGTGCCATTGATGTAATAGCCGTGGGAAAACACTTTCCACATTGCAATCCAGATGTGACATTTGATGGAGACGATTGTTTAGACCAAGGGTAAGCTATCTAACTGGTTAGCCCATAAGGCATTCTGTACCACCACCCATTCTGCAATAGGCATAGCTGATCAGAGCTCACATGATCTTCAGGCTCCGATGGTTTCGATTAAATATTCGACCCAAATGCCAGTTAAGGCATCATAACAGATCTGGAGTCGTAGCCAAAAGTTGTAAAAGTCTTTGGAGCTGCGGTAACCTGCTTGCGATAACTAATGACAAGTCCCTTTCCCGCAATAAACCACCTCGGCAATAGACCACCTGAAGGCATGGAGACCTGCCCGGCCAGCCCTAAGCTGGGCGGTAAGTCCGTCCACCCCCGGGCGACTATAGCAGATGCGCCGCTCCGAGAAGCCGTGCGTGGGCCGGGTCGGGCGGCCTGTCGCCGTCAGCGCCCGTCCGACCCAGGCCACCAGTCCGGGTGTCCCGCCGGGGTCGGTGGTGCTCCGCCGGTTGGTGGTGTCCACTGGGTGTCCTTTCTCATTACCGACGGGACAAGGTCAGAAGGCCGCCCCCATCAGCAGCCACCGGCGGAGCAGTTTGGAGCCCGAGGGAGCGGAGCCGCCCACGGGAGCGGACGGCACGGCGCCCTCACCACGGCCGGGACAGGTTGGCCGCGGCCCTCTGACCGGATCCCGAGGTCAGATGTGGCCCTCACAGAGGTCAGATACCGCCCTCTGACCGAAGGCACGTCCGAGGCCCTGTGACCGCAGTCACGGCCGATCTCTGCCCCGATCGGATATCGGCCATCCATCGCGGCACGCGGCGCCAACAGGGTCCGGCGTCACGGGCCAGCGGCGGGCCGGCAGCCGCTCCGGCCGGGACCCGGCCCGCCCCGCTGCAGAGCAGACGCCGCGGCCCCGACAACCCCGGCTGTCGGCCACCAGCCCAGCCGCCGGCCACTGATGACCCATCATCGGCGGTGGTGTAACTCCAGCGGCGTGGGAAACGGCGGCGGGATGACGGCGCCCAGGACGGCGTCCCCGCGCACACGGTACAAATTAATAAATGCTGGACCAAATAGGACTACCGTCGAGCTTGTAGCTCAGCTAAAAGGGGGAAACCTAACGAGTACCCCAGGTCACAGCAACGTGTGTGTTAAGCTCGTTGCTTTTGCAACACTCATTGCAACGAGGTCATTGCAGTAAGACCAGGCGTTAGTCTCATTTCTCACTGACAGCAGCCGGAGACCCCGGGGACTGCTCCCGATTCTGACAGGACGGCAGAGTCGTTCGACACGTCGTCGCTCAGGTGAGCAGACGAACGACAGCGCAGCAGCCCCTTTGACGCCACAAACGGGGCTCATTGACGACCCGCTAATTGTCGGCGGAGTGACGGTGACACAGACGTAACGCAGGCGGCCACCCGGGCGCGCACCAAAAGTGCCAGTCGGCGGAGTTACGGCTGGTCTGGTCCGGAGACCATGACCCGCAGAGTCCGCGGACCACAGTCGGCGGACACCGACGGCGCCGCGCCGCCGGGGTTTCCCAGCTCATAAAGAGCGCCGATCAGCGCCTGTCCCAGATGGGGGCGCACTTGTCGGCCGGGCCATCAGCGCCGAGCCCGCCGGCGCCCACCAAATCGGCACGGCCTCCTCCTCTTCCCGTCTCGGCGCGGCACAAGGCCAGCGCCCGGGGCGCCGCCGCCGGCATCCACGGCCACCACATCTCGCCGGGCGTACCCAAACAGCTGCGGGGGCGTCGGCCGTGAGCCGGGGATCGGGGAGCATGCCGAGGATGGCCGCCGGTCACCAGAGGTCGCAGTCGGGTGGCCCGAGCTCCGCCCGCCGCCGGGTGACTCACCGGGGATCAGTGGCATTACACGGGCGGGGGTGCTCCGCCCGCCGGCGGCTGGGGTCAGCGGGCACCAGCGAAGGTGAACAGGGGTCAAATGTCACGGGGTCACCGCGGCCAGAACACATCAGCACCGAGAAGACGGCACCCGCCGCCGGCCGATATGTGTCCCGCCGAGGCCATCGGGGATTCCCCCCGGAGAACCGACTGTCAAGGACGCGTTACGACAACGCTCAGCAGGGACGCCCTATTACAATTATTACATTGCAACAGCGCGCTGCGGCGGGCCCATGGCAGCGGCTCGTCCCCGCGCCGGGCCCCGTGTCCTCCGGAGTCCTCCTCTCTGTGTCCTGCGCAGCGCGAACCGGCCCGCTCCGGCTGACCGGCGCCGGCCGGCGGACTCCTGTCCTGTGTGCAGGGGCCCGGCCGCCCGCGGGGGCCGACAGACCATCAGGCCAGGTCGGCCGGCTTGCTTCACGGCCGGCCTCCGCGGCCATGCAACTGCTTTGCAGACTCGGTGAAGCAACTCGAGCTGAGGTCAACCGTGCATCTTCAGGCAAGAAAACGCCCATCGGAACCCCTTTATCCGCCAGCACAGTACCTGCTATTGCCTTTTTTCACGAAGCAACAGCTACCTGATATTACTTCACAAAGACTGGGCACTGGGCAGGACAGGGGTTGGCCGTTGGACGCTGTAACATATGCTCAGGGGCGGGACGGATGACTGGGCACGCAGCTACGTGATGAACTCATTGCGCGCTCAACAGCACGCAAAAGTCGCATTCACGGATCGGTTGGCACTGGGAGCCAGTCATTGGTATATACCAGGGCACCAACGACGGAGAGCTACGCGGGACACTACACATGGCGCGTAAGGCCATCAGTTTTTTCTACCCGCAATTACTTTGATAGCACCAGGCGATGCAATCGCCCCGAAATTGTTACTGCTATGCGAGGGACGCGCCCAACATTCGTAATGTGATTGCGCAAAAACTGTTTCACAAATGTTAGTAGACCGCTATCCTGAAGAGCTCTGTTAGTAGGCTGATCTGTATGCCAGCTTTTGTTAGTCAAATCCACTTGCAACATATCATATTGGTCCAAATGTTTCGTATATAGAGGTAAAAAGCACCGGAGTTTTGAATGGTCTAAACATTTATCTCGAGAGAACTGCTCTTTAAATACAAGTTAGAAGGTCTACCAACATCAAAAGACAACAAACGCGGGTAATGTAACGAATGAGAGGGTGGTGGCCGATAATA